TGGCTCCAACTCCTCTTCTGGTCATTTCTGTGGATATTCTTTGCACGAAATGTTGAATAAACATTAATGTTGTTTCCACATATCATCTCTGGGTTGCACAGTGTCAGCTGTTTGGGATTCCCCTCCGTGCTTTCCCCTCAGAAAGCACTGGAGCGTTCTTGCTCCCCCTGATTTAGATCGGAGCGGCCACGAGGTTCTACCGACTGGACCCGATCATTCGTGACACACGGCACACTACAGGATGATCGGCTATGAAATTGCAAGCGACAGTGTTAGAACATTTAACATTCTAAGACTGTCGTAAGGGGAAAATCGTGGCAAAAAAATTGTGTAGTGTGAACTGGGCAGGAATGAGTGAAGTATTCCATCAGGTAGTTGGATATGTCCACCTTCTCTATCTAAACCTAATGATTATTGAAGGGCAATATAGTATACACACTTCATAATCTGCACTCTTTTGGTTGAATGTAGTAATTATTTCTACTTTGGTTTTATGTTGTTTAGTTTTTATTCAAGTGCATTTTTGTTAAAGTACACTGAGAGTTCATTTTATTTTTGTTTTTGGTTGTTTTGTTTATTTTGTTTATCAGTTCCAGTGTTAAGTGTTCTTTTGAAAATAACGTGTATCTATTTTTTGCAGGATATCCCTTGCCATTTCCATTAATGTCATTTCCATTAAATTAGTGTAAAAAGGTCTTCAAACAATATTATCGTTTATCGCAACAATAATTTTTTAGACAATTAATCGCTCAGCAAAATTTGTTATCGTGACAGGCCTATGTAACATAAGAGATCTGTAACAGATCATAGCAGATTGCAATATCTGCTATGATACAGGTGTGTTGGAGAAGTAATGTGTCTAAAAGTTGCATGGTTTTAGCTCTGGAGGACTGGATGTGGAAGCTCCTGTGTTACAGATGAAGGACCTGGCCAGATTACATACATTAGTTTGATCTGACATTTCTTTGACTTAATGAGTCTTTTGTTCTGCTTTTGCACACCACAATAAACATTGAATGATTTTAGTACTTAGAAGTTGAAACGTGTACATGTCATCTCAGAAAGTGGAGTAGTTATTTTATAGATTACACATAGAGCAAAAATAGTTCTTATATTTTGCAATTTTACTCATTATGGCATATGATGTCTCAGAAAATCATATCTCAGACCAGACCAATCAAAATGGATGTTTTAAGCACCAATGTCAGGCTAATGAATAACATGTTCATTTCTATGCACACTGTGGCATGGAGGGGATCAGTCTGTGGCTCTACATAGAAAATAAAATGGCCAGATCTCTCATTCAAAATGAGGTGTTTTTATTTGATGTTAAATAAATAATGATGTCATATGTTTATTCATTTGGGTTATATTTTCTTTTGTAATTTCTACTCCCATTGACATGGTGACTACTGGATAGTAGCCTCAGCTGCCCCACAGACCAGGCTGTCATGCACGGCACCTCTACACCTGTGTGTTTTGTCTAGAAGAGAGACAGGGAGGAGAACCTGAAGTTATTGTCAGCAGTAGCTGATTTCTCCCTCCATGAAGGTATCACAGCTGTTACAGCTTTCTGTTTAACTGTAAAAGCTGTCAGTTGTAGCTTCTATGAAAGAGTCAGAATACTAAGAGCTGGAATAATAGCAAACATTGGAGAGTAGTAGGATTATGTAACAGATAAGTGGTCAGAACATGAAGAACCAAACAATTTGTCATTTATGTCCGGTTACTTGAAATCTCTTTTCTCATTTATTTTAGCAAAAATCAATATTTCACTGCTGTGAAATACAGAAATCGGTACAGAAATGTATAAGGATTAAATGTGAGAGCATGACAGATAAATTTGCATGTATTAAATCAGAAGGAATATGTGAGAGAACTAGAACCCAGTTCAATACAGAAGCTATCTGAGGTGACAAACTGCTGCACAAATATGGCCTGCTTCCTATTTTTTCTTTTTTTTTTTCTTCTACAGTAACATCACAAAAATCAAAAAATGGTGTATATGATGGATAAAAATAAATGTCAGCAATAGTGTATTCTGTGTTTGACTGTTTTCAGGCTGGGAACACAGCTCTCCACCTGGCCTGTCAGAACGGTCACACCCAGAGCTCCAAGGTCCTGCTGCTCGGTGGATCCCGACCTGACAGCCAAAACCATGTAGGTTTTCAGCAGGCTTCAGGGACAAGCATGTTTCACTGCCAACATTCCGGAAATGAAAGTAGAAACATTGTTTTTTTTTTTTTTTTTTTTTTTTTTCTTCAATATTTTTTGGCTCCATGTGGGTCACCACAACCAGTGTACAGCCCAACGTTAACATTTTGAGGCAGTTCCTGCAACTGGAAACTGCTTCAAAATGTTGACCAGGAATCATTCTAACTTTGAGTATTTGTCATGTGAATCTCTAAGAGCTCCAACCCCAATGAAAGCTAGAGTTTGTTAGGTCTTAGTTGATGACACACCAAGACTTTGTGAAACAGATGTTTGTTTATTGATCTTGTGCCTTTGAGATGCAGTTTGACATCTGGTTCTGAGCTGGGTAGATGCTGGACTATTTCCATACCAACATAATCTCTTAATTTTGCTGCTCAATTATAGTAAAAAAAAAAATTATAATTCCGTGGTTTGGTCAATGTTAAACTCCCCCACTTCTAAAACGTTAACTCACTGAGTTTAAAAACCAACTCAGTGAGTTAATGTTGCTGTTAAAAACAAAAGCTAACTTGTGTAGCATCTGGTGGAAGAATTTGTTTAATAATTCTTTTTTTTAATTCCATAGTTTTTGTGATCATTTAAAGCCTAAAATGTAAAAAAAAGAAAATACTAAATAAATTGCAAAGCCCTGCTCTTTGTTATAAGACTATGTGACACATTTTTTTTCATAAGCAGGAAAGAGAACAAATTTGTTGTTGCGCAATAAACTAAGTGCCAGAAGAGCTTGTTATTGTCTTAGCAGCAGATGGCCACAGCTGCACCAAGAGCTCACAGTTTGAAGCTTCACTCGTGTGTAAACTCTCTCAGAGCAGCCTTCGTCAGTGTTGACATCTTTCTGCTTTTGGTTCCTAGCAAACATACAGTCGACCTCAGCTGTTGAGCCTCCTGTCTACATGTTCCCCTTCAAAATGTTCTCGGTTCCATCATTACGGCAGGTTATCCAGGTCCTGATGTAGCAATGCAGCCCCACACCATCATGCTACCACCACCATGTCTGGCTGTTGGAATGATGTTTTTTGTTTTCTTCTTTTTTTAAAGCTTTTATTGGTTCTAGTGGCCTTTATTTGATAGTTAATTGACAGGAAAGTTGGTAATGAGACAGGGGGAAAGACATGCAGCAAAGGTCGCCAAAGCCAGGAATCAAACCTGCGACTGCTGCGTCGAGAACTAAGGCCTCCATACATGGGTTGTACTTAACCCCTGCACCACCACAGCACACCCCAAGAATTATGTTCTTTGTAAAAATGTTGTATCAATATTATTATTATTATTATTATTATTATTATTATTATTATTATTATTATTTTTTGTTGCAATGCAAAGATCGACTTTTGTCTCGTCAGTTTTTACAATAATTTCCCAAAAATCTTCTGGATCATAAAGCTATATTATCTTTGCAGAGATGTAGAGACATCTTCTCCTTTGTGTGATGTTTGAGTGAAGGCATGTGGAGCAGCTGAGAGCAGCTAATGCTAATGCATAATAGACTGCTTTCAGTCTATTATGTAATGCTGCCATGTGGACTTTTTGTATGCAAAGTGGGTCACTGTGAGCTGGTCATTTAGGTCCAATTTTAATGCCGAATATGGTTTTAATTAAAGCAGCATCTGAATCAGCCAGGATGGAAGCTAATACCACATGTGAACAGATCATGGTTAAATAAGAAGAGTAAAACCACAACAAACACATTAAACCTTATTGAGAAATGTTTCAGTGGAAATGTTTACATTTGATAAAAACGTGCAGAACAATTTTGAAAAAAAAGAAAAAAAAAGAAAAATAGTGTTATGGGTTTCATTTCGTTATGAAATAAAACCCATGCATAAACACTATAAAAGAGAAAAGAAATGATCCAGTTATTGTTTGGACTCCATACACATGAGTATTGTGGAAAGATTCCATTCAGTTGTTTAATTCCCACAGGCTTGTAGGAAATGGCATCAGCATTTTTCAGCTTATCAGTAGCATGAGAGGATGCAGGTGGCCTCGCTGTGCAGAATGCTGCACCACTGAGCATGTCATTCCACTCCTTTAACTTTGGCTCAACACAATGTAGTTTTACACTATAAGTAATGATAGCTTACAGTGCTCTGTAGTGGTTTCTCTTTAGATGCTGCAGTGAGTGTAAGCCTCAGCTCGTGTCGGGTCTGGACAGAGGCCGCGGGTTTCTGTCATGTTGCAATGGCGGCCTTTCAAATATGAGTCATTATGGCTGCAATGGACTAAAATTCCCATCAGCAATGGACTAAAAATCCCATATCTTATGGTTCTTTTGTGTTAACAATTAAAATGTTATCTGTATGACTTAATGGCACAAACACACTTAAGTCAAGTCTGAAATCTCAAAGGAGTCTCAACCTCAAATCTCTGCTGCACACAATGATAACCTTGATCACACATAGTAAGTGTGCAGCTCAGTAGTAACAATCACTTTTCTTTATGTACCTGATATCCTGAGGACACCTATTTAAATGGGTGTCTATTTTAAGAGCAGTAGATTTGTGTCCTAAGGACTCGACTTAGACTCCTGGTCTGACACTCAAGTCTTAGTAACTGACATTGTCTCATCTTTTGAAGAATGAAAGGAAGCTGGTATAGGAACATGTTTTATTATGAAAATGAACTTATTTATCAATGGCTCATAACAATCTGATGGCGGATTCTGACAAAAAACTGAAAATGGATCGTCATTGGGTGTTTAATGAACCAAAACAAATTCCCACTACAGCGAAAATAGTCCCAGACATAGACCTTAGAAAACCTGCTTGGTGAGCTGAAGAAGGGATTGCATAAGAGAGCAAAGTAAATACAAAATCAGTTTTCAAACGATAATTAATTTTTAAGGGAAAAGCTATCCCCTAAAACCTAATAACTTTGTTGTCCTTCGCTTCGCAGCAACAAATAGCATTAACTGATTGTGATACAATGCCTGGTTATGAGTTCTTCAAATGATTGTGGAGGAATTTTGCGTCTTATTGGTGTGTTGTGTGTGTGTGGGAGGGACGACTTGGGAGGGTTGTTGAGGGAAGGTTTTGGAGGTAAGCGGTGTTTAAGTATTGATCGACCTTTTATACTTAAACAAATCAAGATGCAGGAGGATCTGGTTGGTTTGAATCGTTCTTTTCCATAATGAATGAACAAATTCATTGCAAATGGAATAATCTGAAATAATTTGAAAACTATTGTATGTACTTAGGTAAGATTTATCTGATACTTATAGTTGTTTGATGATCAAAAACATTTAAATGTGACAAAAAAAAATAGCAGAAATGTTAAAGGGGCAAACTCTTTTTCACAACAGTTTATATGATATATACTAAGTGAAGCATAAATCTGGAAGAAAAATGACAAGCTGATTTCTGTTTTTATTATTATTATTATTATTATTATTATTATTATTATTATTATTATTAAGAAAAGACTTTGGTGGAGGTTCATCTTCCAACAGGCCGACCAGACATCGGTACAAGCCGAACATTTCTGATAAAAGCTTGTTACGGACATGGTTCCAGATTATTTTAAATCTGGAAACATACACAACATTTATGTGCAGAACAAAGTGCCCAGTGAAACATTCTGTAGTGCATTAATCACACCAGCCCAGGACCTCCACATCCAAATGTTCATCTCCAGGATCGATGGAAAATGTTTTGGATCTTTGAGTTCAGCTCATTAAAAATGGGAACATAAACAAAAGTGTTGCATTTCTGTTTTTGTTTGGTTTATTTGGGAATATTATGGTTTCTTGAGCACCTGCAGTGAAAAAAAGGTGGATTGAACCCAAGTGTTTTAAAAATTTAAGAATAAAAAAAAAATATTTATAATATTTTAATAAGTTCTGTTGGTCATGTCCCTCCTGTTTTACAGATATCTGAGTTTATGAACTTGTATTTTGTCTCCAGGCAGGCGACACCTGTCTGCATGTGGCTGCTCGGTATAATCACGTGGCTATGCTGCGCATCCTGCTGGGAGCTTTTTGTTCAGTGTCAGAGAAGAACACAGTAAGTCTGTTCAGTAAAAACCAGGGAAATTTTCAAAGCTTTTTTTGGAAAAACATGTCATACATTTATCTGCTAATGGCAAAAGTGGCCAGAATCCCACCTACTTTATTTTTAACCATATTATTTTGACCAATAAATCAGGAAAATTAAAAATCTTTTAAAACATAAATCAAAGTCAGGTGTGCCTCTTAAATTAAATCAGGAAGATGGACAGATCCAGGAATCAGACGTGTGTATGTGGGACGCTTGCTCTACCACTGAGCCTCCCAGTTTTCCTCAGAGTTGTTGTAGATCCTGGTGTCAGGAAGGATCTCCTGTAGCAGTCAGTATTGTAGCAGCTCTGAAGAAGCATTTGGCTTAACCCTTGTGTTTACAAATGGGGTCCAGCCGACACCACACCTGTATCATTTGCCTCAGTCCTTGTATGTTTGCCTCAGTCCTCGCACGCACAAGGGTTAAAACATTGTGTTGTTCCATAACAGACTGATGTAGACGATGATCTGTGTTTGTTCGTACTCATCATTGGACAAAAAAGGTTTTTCAGGGTGTTGCCAGAACAGAAGCAGCTGTCCTCAGCGGCTCTTTGAGCTTCTTTAAGTCACTGGGTCAGATGCTGCTTCACCAGCAGATGATGGCACATAAGATTACACTTGCGCCTCTTGCAATAATCATTTAATTAATTAATCGCATGATAAATTGATCGCTTCTGTTCTGATGATTATTTTTACCTATTTTATTTATGGTTTAGATTGTATGTAGCTTTTATTTCTGTTTAATTTATTTATTTTGTATGTTTAAAATATTTTCCAGCAAGAATATTGGTGTTAATTATTATTAATAAAATGACAGTGTATTGGTCTTTGAAGGATTGACTTGCATTATATGGTCTAAAAACAACAATATTATGATTTATTGCAATAATTACTGGGACAATTTATCGTCCAGCAAAATTGGTCATTGTGACAGGCCAGTTGCATTCTCCATAAGATGTAGATAATATATGTTGTTCCTAAACCAAATCTGCACACTCAGAGCCTACTTGTCAAATGTCTAACCTAACCCTGAATCCCAACAACTCTATGCATGTTAATTAGTTTGTTTGTCCTGCAGGTTGGAGACACACCACTCCATGTGGCAGCTGCTCTGAACCACAAGAAAACTGTTCGTCTATTACTGGAGGCTGGAGCAGACAGTCAGATTCAAAACAATGTGGGTTCATTTTACTGATTATCATTGTTACACCGCAAAGTAGTGGAACCTGTTTCTACTGTAATGGGCGTTAAAATAAGACTTAAACAGTAATGAACAAAAGCCATCAAGTTGGTTCTGTCTCTTTAAATACTGCAAAAATAAAAACCCTTTCCAATAAATAAATATTCAGTATAACTAAACACTTACTTCATGAGAATATGTCCCAAGATCTTTTCTCAAAATGCTTCACCTAAGCATTTTGAACTACATTCACTTTACCAACAGACTAGTTGATATTTGCTTTTCAATGTTCTACAATGTGTCGTCTTGGAAAAAGTCTAATTAGTCTTATCAAATATATTACTTGAGTCTACACTCTGGCAGGCAGATTTCAGTGAAACTGTCAGATTGATTTCACTGTTACTGTTGATGTTCTTTGACAAAATCCAGAACTTTGACAGACAAAATAGTTGCTTATATAAATTAAAAACAACAACTTTTGTGCTGCTCGGTCAGCTACAAGCATCTTTATCAGATGAGGAACTGATTCATTCTAGAGGTAAAACCTCCCCATTCCTTCACTAATAAAAGTCACAATGATGTAAAAATAGATTATGTTCATTAAACACAATTGGTTTGGTGCTCTTGCTGTATCTATTAGAATCATTTTTCAAGGAATCTGTAATTCTTTGAGCAATCAGTTCCTTACATTTGCATGTATATTTCTATTAAGTAGCAAGAACAATAGACACGCAAGTCAAATATGTATTTCAAATTTTAATGGTTAGAATATGAGACTTCAATTTACAATTTAAACTGAGCAATAAGGCTCAGCTATGAGAAAAGCTAAACTACATAAAATAATATGTTAATCAATCCAACTTATAAACTTCTCAAAATTAATCAAAAGGATGAAAATTTAATTTACAGAAAAATATATACTTTTTACATAGAAAAGAATAACAGATTTGTCGGTATAACTCAAGATTCCAGTGGTTGTTTTTTTTTTTGTTTTTTTTTTTTCAAACAAATGCAAGAAACACTTTAACAAAGAAAAAATAATTTGGGAGCTAAATTCAAGAATTACAATAATTGTAATTTGCAAAACTATTATAAGAATAAAATGGGGCTGGAGGCTCAGGTGAAAGTTTGATGACGAAATAGAAGTTGAAATGAGGCTAAGAGGAGCTCTGATTCACAGACAGAACACGTATCATTTATCATGCACAGCTCTTTTTATTGCTTTCTTTCCTTCTGTCGTCAGGCTGTTGCCAGGTTTTCCGATCAGCCATAATAATAATTCCCTCCTGACTGCGAGGACTGCTACATTAACTAATTTATTGAATCATTTATGGAATAAAACTCAGTGGCTGAATTATTTAGCAGCCTTCAGACTTCTACATTTAACAAAATGAGACCACTGATCTTACTCAAACTTTTTCACTTATCAGACATTCTGATAAACAGCTTGAGATGACCAACCTGGTGAGGTCAAATTGTCCTGTTCAGAAATAAGAACTGGCTTTGACTAAACATGGTTCTCTGTTTGAAGAGACATTTAGATGAATTAAATTTCACATCTGTCTGCTACCTGCATAAAAAAGTTTTTTGTTCTTTTTCATAAAGTACTTTAAATCTGGCAAATGAGCCTCATCAGAACATATATTCTAAAAGACTGAATATGACTGTAAAGAGAACATCATTTAATGTTGCCAGGTACCAGAGCTGCGCTCAGCTTCTTTACTTCGCTGTGTGTGTCTTCAGGCAGGTCAGACTGCTTTGGACCATGCCAGAGATCACAACAACCCAGAGGTGGCTCTGCTTCTAACCAAGGCTCCCCAGGTACAACGCTCTGATGACTAATGAAACAATAAACACAATCTTCCTCAAACAAAATGGACAGTTTTAGTCTCTTGCTTTAGCCCTCAGGAGAAAGAATTCAATTAGGCAGATATTCAAGTACATAAAAAGTCTGATCTGTATGAGGATTTTAATTTTAAACACACTACAAGTCCAATGTTTAGAACGGATCCTACTTTTAGTGATATTTTCTGCATTAAAGTTAATAGGATATATTATTATCTTTTAGTACATGTTTATTATAATCATCAGCTATTTTATTTTTCTTGCTTAGATGTGTCACCTCCTCTAGCTTTAATGACTCTACAACATCTGACACAAGCCATGTTACAGACTCATTCCAAATTGTATTAAATTGATCTCTACTCAAAAATATGCCATCATAACAATGGGGTATTGTTATATCTCATTATAGGATATAACAACGGGATATTTTTTTATTTTTTATTTTTTTCGCATTTTGTAAATTTATTAGAAATAGAAAACTAAGAAACCATATGTACATAAGTATTCACAGCCTTTGCTTAACACTTTGATGTTTCTTTTTTGGCAACAATACAGAACCTCAGCAGCAGTTTTGAATATAAAGTCACCTGGCTTCAGGCAGTTTGGCCTGTTGTTCTCCATCAGGTTGGAAGGAGATGTCTGTCAGACATTTTCAGATCTGAACCAGATTCACATCAGGATATTCACAGAGTGGTTCTAAGCCTTTGGCTCATTCTACCGCCTTAATAATTTCATCATACAGAAACTGCGTTTGTCTTAACCCTAAAAATAAATCCTACTTTTCTTTAGTTGGATGTTTTGGCAACATTGTTGTACATTTAAATAGAGGAATGTGGCGCATATTTTAAATATCTAATCAGTCACTAAACACATCCCAAAATTAATAATCCTATTGGTTTTGAACTAAGGCATGTTTAACAGAAAGCTGATTGCTTCCAGACCTGCTGTGTAAATAATCAGACATTTGTACCAACAGCCTCTGCAGCAATTTATATAACACTCAAATACCCATTAAGGTCAGAGATTTGGAATTAAACATGACTTTTATTCCACAGACATTAGTGGGCCTGGTGAAATGCATTGTGTTATGCTGCCATATCTGTCTAGTTTGAACAGATCCTCAGGTCACCAGAAGGATAATCTTATACACTTAACATAGGATTCTATGTTATTCTATTTCTGTTTTCTAATTTTTGTTATTAGATATATAACAGAAATTACATTATAACAGTGTGGGTTGTCAGAGAGCTGCTCTCTGACAACCCACACTGTTTTTACAGTGTGGGATCCACATGTAAAAAACTAACTATGAACACTATAGTTCATAGTACAGTGAAATATAATTTCTAAATGAGTTTGCAAAACAAAATGCACATCATCGATTAATGGTTAGATAAAACTTAAAACACAGAGTTGAGAATGCAGTGAACATTGAATTGGTTTGACCAAAGAGGCAGTATTCCTGCCTGAGATATTTGGTTGTGCAGTGTGATGGTTTGAGGGAGGACAGAGTTCGGCTAGTTGCTATAGCAACAGGGTTATAGGAGTATGCTTGCCCCGTTTGGTTATCCAGGATGGTTCTGCACTAAACTTTTCTTTCACCTGTTTCAAATTCTGCTAAAAATTTCTATTAAGCACCTTTTGCTATTCAATTATTAATGTATTAATCCAAAGCGAATCACCAAATCAGCCATAAACTGTTTGCTTAACAGTTTATGGCTGTCAAATAACATTTTATTATTTAAAGGAAGGAATTGAAAATGTGTTTATTTGCATCTTTTAACATATTTCTAATGTATAAAAAACTGGTTAAATTAAAAATCTGCAGAATGTTCCAAATGTTTTTAATCCAATTGAACGTCAGAATGACTGATTGCTGGACTAATGGTTCGATGTGGACCCCCTGGTAGTTGTAGTCCTTCCTGTCCTCCACTGACTGATGAGTTAAATGGTGAAGAGCACAGAGAATATTCATCTTTTCTATTTACATAAGTTATATTTTCAAATGAACTTGGTTACCTCCAACATTCAGATCTAGGAGTGATCTCCTGTTTGAAGTACATAGAGGTGTCCTTGTGCTGCAGGACGTGGCAGACTTTAGACCCACACTGTTTTTTACAGTGTGGATCCGCATCACAACTGTGTTGTGATGAGTCTGAATTAATTCAGTTCTTGCTCTCACATATGTTGTGACAGGTCTCACACACACTGTCCTTCAGTGTTAGACTAACCATTGTCTAATGTACTATCTCAATCATTTCTTGCAAAAATATTTATAATTCCACAGTAAATATGCTTTACATCATTACACAGTAATGATGCTTTAGTCTTTGCATCATTTTTAAATAAAAATATTATTTTTAGTATAAATTGGAGTTTTGTGTGTGTGTATCGTCGTGTGAATCATTGTGTGATGTGATCTGTGTGTGTCATGTGCAGGTGCAGAGCTTCATGCGTGGCAGGACTGTGAGGAAGAGAAGAGAGAAGCTGAAAGCAGACCGCCGAGCGCGGTCGGTGCCCAGAGATGAGATGCTGAGCTGTAATGTAAGTAAATCAGGAGGACCTGAAAAGGTAACCTCTGGAATCCATAACGGATTCCAGAGGTTACCTTTAAAATAGGTGATGGTAAAAGAAAATCAAATCTTTTTTTTTTTTTTAAGATTTGAGTCAGTTTGTTTTATTTTGCTTACGTCTCTCTGATCCACACTGCTGCTGAACAAACTTGTTTTTCCTGAACATTCTCATTCGATCTGACCTAATACAAAACTAAATCTTTATGCTAACACTCCTGGTTATAACTTGCCTCAAATACAGCTAATGAAACACTGCCTCCTGCCTGTTGTTTAAGGCTGAGACTCGATGCTTTTCACGTATTATAACAGTGGAAATAACATCTCAGTTCAGAAGTCCATCAGACATCGTCCACAATTCATGAAATATGTAGCTATGCTTACAGTATGCGTTCTTTATAATTGAGTGATTCGAGTTTTTGTGAAATCGCTGCAGCTGACATTAAGTCTGTCTTGATTTTTAATCATATTATTTCTGCCAATTTTGTACTTGTCTTTCTTTTTTTTTTTTTACTAAACTTAATTTTATTTTCTGTTTTATGATTTAGCTACCTGTAATTGTTGTGAAGCAGTGTGGTCAGCTGAGGTTGTAATATCAATAAACTTTGCCTTGAGAAGAAGAGTAAACTTCTGATGCAGTAGTGAATCCAACAGCAGGAAAACAGAGACACAGTTAGCACTACTAAACTGAATCATAACGAAGTGAAGTGAATTCATCTGTAATCCCCAAAGCATGGTTCCAGTCAAAGTTTTTTTTCATGATATTTCCATTTTTTCTGCTTCACATTTGAAAGCTTAATAATTATCCCTTGAACTGTGTTTTGCAGGACAGTGCATCTGCTGCAGACGGCACCCAGAGCAGCGACCCAGCAGCTCCACTGGCAGAGGCAAACAGCAGACAAGAGAAGGCCAGGAAGCAGAAAGAAAAGGTGAAACAGATGAAGCTCGGGTTGCTGAAGGCATGGAAGAGTTGTTGCTGTGGAAGTGCCGGAAAACACAATAACTACTGGGATCATTGTTTTGGCAGCCATCTTTGTCCGAACCTCTGCGCCGCAGAGAGATCAGGAGGAAAAACAAAACACATGGAGCCTCTCCTTATGGATCCATTCCACCTCACAACTACAAAGCTTATCAGCTCTACACACTCTACAGGGGCAAGGATGGCAAGATCATGCAAGTAAGTACACAAGGTCTCCTCTGGTCAGTGTCATTCTAAGTTCTATTAACACTTAATGGACTGATAAGTGCTCAGAAATGATTATTGTTTAAAAACATCATATATTTTGTCCTACGGCCTTTTCTAGATTGTCCAAAATACCAGCTCAGCAAATCCTAAATCAATGAACATCCTGAATGTTAGTTCACACTGCTAGAGTTTAAAGAGCAGGTCTGCTGGATCCCAGTGAGTGTGTGTGTGTGTGTTGTGCTGCAGGCTCCACTGAACGGCTGCCGCTGTGACCCACTGCTCAGTAAATTGGAGAACCAGCTGGAAGCCACTAAGGAGGAGATGAAGACAGAGATCCACGCCGTGGAAGATCTGGTCAACAAAAAGATGGGTCAGCTGGACCGCAGGAGCAAACACCAGGTAGACTCTGCTGCTCTCTCAACTCAATAGCTCAACATACTGACTGTAAACACACAGTCATATCATCTAGGCTAAAAGTTAAATGAATGGACTGCACAAAAATTCTGGTGAACATCTTTTGTAAGTATTTTCCAGTTCTGACCTCCGCTGACCTGAGCAGCTCTGATACAAAACGCTTACTGAACTGAACCATCATTTCTGGATGATGCAGAATTAAATCCAGCTGCCATCATCACCATGAAACGTCTGTTTGAATCCCATTTTCTCCTGTATTTGATATTCTCTATGCTGATACTGCTTTGGAATGAACAGATTAATTAGAAGGCTGTTAAAACCTTTTCTTCATTTGATTACACCGTTATCTCAGTCAGCTTGCCCTCGGCTCTGCAGCGTTTCCCCACCATGTGCAGACACACAAACAGAAAACTCATAATATACCTCCAACTCTCTTGATTAATGAAGATGTATGTGAGGAATATTAAGGCATCTGGTTTGTCAGCCTTGGCTCACCTCTGCTGATCCTGGTTGTGAGCAGGAAAGATTGTTTCCTGGGAACCACAAATAATTTATTGATTCTAGGAGGAGAGGAAGAGACAAGAGAGTGTTTGTTTATTCATAATGAGATTATATCCTTTATTATTTTACATGTGGAATGAGTTATTGTTGGTGAATAATGTAAGCGATTTCATGAGCATCTTTTAAAATTCTACCTTAGGTCTACTGTCTTATTGCAACAAAGTACACCTTATGTTGATCATAATATTGTTTTATTAGCACATAATTCACTATGAAGCAGAAGTGGTTGAGCAGCATTGATCTGGATTTCCTTCAGACTGTTGGGTCTGAGCTGTCCTTGTCCTGGACCCAGCCAGGGATCGGTTCAGGCTTTAAGGCAGGAATCTTTAAGGCCACTCAGTGGATAGTCATTCATAAAGGATGTGCAAAAGGCTTTCAAATAAATGCTTCTTTTACTTCGGTAGCTTAGTCTCACACTGAAAAAAATTCTGGGTTAAGTAACAAGTTACATTAAAACAAATTAGTTGTGTGTTTAAGTCACAGTGTGAGAGGTGGTTTGTGTTTGTCTCCATGCTGCTGCATTGTGCTCCTCACAGCTGCAGGTCACTTTAGGAGATTCTCGTCATATTCCAGGCTAGAGGAGTCTCTGGACATTAGCAGCTGTTTTTTATGTTTTAGTTAAAAATAAATTACATGTTTCATGTGGAGTCAGGACAGACAGTGATGTCTTTTCTGCATCCACTACAGGTTGCATACTTTCCTCCACCCTGCCTGTTGGTGGGGCAGTGGTGCAGGAACAGTTGAGCTAAGCATACAGAGGGAGGGATCACTGCATGTCCCTCTCTAATGCTCAGCTACCATTTTTTTGTAGGAAACGACTCTGAGGACAGGAAGGATGATGGAAGTTGGGTTACACTCTAGTTCCTTAACAAGCTAATATTGTCAGTCTCATTCAGACATCTTGGTATTTCAAAGAACTCCAAAGATCAGATACTTGAAAACTGGCCATCACAGATCCTCCACCAGGCATAACATGAGGTGTTTCTACATAGTCGCTCTTTACTTGTTACTAAAAGTCTCAATCTTATTCTGTTTTATCAGACTGTTATGTTCCAGTTAAGAACCCATTTACAAAGCCTGGCCTCCAACTGATAGGTTAGCATTCATATGGCGTGTAATGGTTGCTATGGAGACTGGGTGCCCCCAAGAGGCCAGTCATTGCTGTAGTTCTGTCATAATGAGTGTAAGAGCTCTTTTACCTACTAATGTAGGTGTGTGTGTGTTTTTGTGTGTTGAAATATCCTCATATCTATAGTCAGAGAAGCACATAAAAGTTTAAAACAGCTATGACAAACCAAGCTGAACATGGAGTTATATTTATATTACTTCTGCACACATGCGCACACACACCTCCCTGACTTCAGCTGCTTGTTGTCCTCTTGTGTTTTGTCTTTAGAAGACAGACTAAGAGAAGCAGACCCCTGTGTTATGCATATTTAAACCTCATTTATCAAACTTTAAAATGGCTGGATACTTTAAAAGGAAAGTAAGAAGTATACCAAAAAAGTAAATTACAAATTTAAAATGCTTATCTTTATTTAATATGATGTGTTGGGAGTTGATGTTAGCAGTGGAATGTTGTTTAAAACAACTATGTGTTATTTTCCCCAGTGAATATGGAGTGTGAGTTGCTGCAGTAAAAACTATATTTGCTTAGTGTTTTGAACATATTTAATAGAGGAGGTGGTGTTTCATTGGACTTGGTCATGTGAGGCAGTGCAGGATTGTGGGATTCAGAGAATCATTGTTTTTTAATGGTGACAAAAGGATAGAGAAATTTATAATTTATAAAACTTGGTTACCAGCCCTAACAACAATAACAAGATCTGATATCTGTCAATAGAAATTTCATGTCAGTGCCCCCCTAATAATTACATTGCAATGTGGATTACGTGAAAATGGAAATCTTTTTTTGAGTGGAATCAATCAATCAATCAATCAATCAGTCAGTCAGTCAGTCACTCAACCAACCAACCAACCAACCAATCAATCAATCACATTTTATTTGTATGGCACATTTCACCAACAAGGCATTTCAAATTGCTTTACATCATAAAAACATAAAAATGCAAAATCATAAAGCAGTCAGCAATTGAAACATTACATTTTGCTGTTGTTACACATCAGATTGTTGATTAATGTTTCACAAGCAACTCTAAACATTTGGGTTTTTACTCTAGGTTTAAAGGAACTTAGTGTTTCAGCTGTTTTGCAGTTTTCTGGAAGTTGATTCTTCCAGAAACCAGTTCATAATCTCTTCTGGCTACAAACCCAGAGGAGAGGAACTGGGCGTGGCAGAGCAGTAGTTGGTATCAGAATGCTGCTCCGTGTGCTGGTCCTCAGATCCGAGCTCTGGATAAGATGACGGTGGAAAGAATTTCTGCAGAGAAGAGCGAGTGTCTGCAGAGGATGGAGCACTGGGCTCTGCAGGAGCGACTGGAAGCAGAGAAGAGACAGGTAATCAGTCGCTGCTGGAATAAATCTCTCCAACTGAAACATTACAGGACTTCCTACAGGTTCTCCTCTCCTCAGTCATCCTCTCGTCTTCTACATCTTTACCTTTTTTAGCTAAAAATCTAACCTCAAATGCATGAATCAAACTTTGAACATGGATAGTTAGTTGATCAACTTAAAGCTTTGTGCAAAGACAAACAAATGTGACGATGTAAAAGTTTCCTTTAAAGCTGGCCTTGTGTGGTTCTGTGTGTTCTCTAAGCAGACGTCTCTGGCTACTGAGCTGAAGAGCTGGTGTTTGTCCAAACTACAGAACATGGAGGTCCGCTTCATGGGAGACTCCAGCACCAAGCTGCAGCGCTCCTCCTCTCTGGCTGATGATCTGTGTGAAGCTGATGGAGCCAGCAGCACCGTGCAGCCTGCTGAGCTGGGCTGCAGCTCCCCACTCCCACTGCCCAACCGGGCTGAAGCCAGTAAGGTGGAGGGCGGCTCGGCCAGCCACTACTTTGTGGTTCATGTGGAGAACTCTCCAGGTGATGGTTCAGCTACTAGATCCACACAAGTAAACAGAACCAGTTCCAGACAGTTCAGTTAAAAGCAAATCATTCCCTGCAGTCAGAAAATTAAAAAAATCTACGGGCTCTGATTACAGACTACATATGAACACAGACTGCAGTAATCAGGACACACTCACTGTTTACAGCAGAGGTCTCTGGCTGCAGTCCTCCAGGGCTGCTGGCCTGCAGCTGTTACATGTCTCTCTGCTTCAGCACACCTGGTTCCATTATTAGCTCATTAGCAGAGCTGTGTAGCTTGACTGCATGCTAATGATGCAGTTTAGCCTAGTGATGGTGAGATGAAGCTTCACGATGCACTGAGGCATTTCATCCAAATGTTTGACTCGAGCCGTTGGTGCTTCATTTGCTCTACTACGACATCAAGTGGACAAATATGTAAAATAGGCAACATGGAAACAACATAATGCATGAAACCTTAAACTCAATAAACAAGTAAATGATGTTTGTGATACTAATACATAAATTCTTAATCTCTTAATATAATAATATATATTGCTGGATCAAAAAGAAAACTAGAAACAAATTGGGGAGAGGATGTTGGTGTGAGTGTCACAAACCTTGGGAGCTTATTTATTATTTATAACTTAAAGATAAGAACCTTCTCTGTGCTCAGGTTCATCTCAGTAGATGAAGCACTTCATGTGCTTTGTGAGTGCAAGTGTTGCCAGAAATGCATCATCAGGTTTACATTAGTTGGGATTAAACATTTTCTCACCTTCCCATTATTCTAGTGCAGGGTGCTCAAGTCCAGTCCTCGAGAGCTACCTGCAACTTTTAGATGCATCCTTACTCCAACAGACCGGGATCAGCTCTGAACAGACCTGCTAACGAGCCATTCATTTGATTCAGGTGTGTTGGAGCAGGGAAGCATCTGAAAGTTGCAGGATGGCAGCTCTGGAGGACTGGACCTGAGCTCCCCTGTTCTAGTGGATTCTCTGGTCCCAGAAGTTCCTGTATGACTCTCTGCTGTCTCATCCTGCAGTGACCTGGCTGAGCTGAGCCTTGCCTTTGTGCAAAGCTCTATAATGCCTCAGCACAGAGGAGTTATATAAGTATCTCATTCAGCTTTATTTGGACACACTTCACCTTTTAAAACATCAGAAATTAGAAGGATATTAGAATACAGGATCCACTCTGTGGATCCTAATTCTGATCCTCCTGGATCACTCAACACACACTTCAGTGCCTCAGCACAGAGGACACATCAGTAAGTTAGACCTCTGATTCAAATGTAGGACTGCAGTTTGACGCCACTGCTTACAGTCAAAACAAAAAGAAATTCAATTAAAATTAATTGAAGTCATTTCAAACTGAAGAACTATGGCTTTAAAACTAAGCTACACACTGAACTGGGACTTTGTTCAGCTTTACATCCCTAAAACCTACAATGCACTGATAAATGTACACCAATAAAGTGTTACTAAAACTAGATGAAAACATGAATTGAACCTTTTTAATAACTCCACAAAACATGATTTCTGATCAGATGAACTTTGTCAGCTTACCCCAAATTGATTAATAGTTAATGGTTGCATGACGGTTGACTAAACTAATCCTTTCCACCTCCAACCAGATGGTGAGAAGGAGCATAAGACAGAGGCTGCAGCACTGTCGTCTGTCCAGGTGGTCCGGCCTAAGGAACGCTCTGCAGACGCTCAGAGGAATAAACAGAACCTGCAGAGAGCGGGCCTGGCAGACCCAAAGGCTGCTGGGAGACCGAGGCACAGAGCCAGCAGCCTGTCTCCTGCCACAGGGCGGCGCTGCAGCAGCAGAGATGTAGAGAGAGGCCGAGTCAGAGCAAAGCAGCATGAAAAGCATGCAGGCGGCAGGACCAGGTCAAGGGGAGACACAGGGATCCGGACTATGGAGCTGCTTAAAGACCTCTCTGGTGGGCCGTCCTTTGCTCAGGAGAGGGACAGCATGCACGCTGTGGAGGTGACCCAGTACTTCTTCGAGGCTGTGTCCACCCAGATGGAGCGCTGGTATGAGAGGAAGGTGCAGGAGGCCCGCTGGCAGGCCAACCAGAGGGCTCAGGCCGACAAGGCTGCTCTGGTCCAGAGGATCGCTAACCTGGAGGAAGAGCTCCGTGTTCTGAGGACAAGTCGCCATGACGACTACTAACGCGCCTCTTCAGAACATTCTGGCCTTCCAGGGGGTGGGGCTGCCTGGAATATTCAGCACCTCCATCCATGTGGGGCTGATTGTTATTGCAGAACTGAGCAAATGACTTAATGTGTACATATTGAAAATAACATTCTTATGTTCTTAACATAAGGATGCTATGTGAAGAAGCACAGCATCTTCTTCATATAGCATCCTTGAAATCCACTATGGATCATAGAACATACTATGACCCCTAGTGTTCACTATGATCCGTAGTGTTCACTAGTGTTTGCTATGATCACACCATCATGTGGGGACATGCCTGCTGCCTGCTGGATTCAAACAGATAAGCTATGATGTATTTATAACACTGAATGTGGAAAAAACCTGGTGGATTTCCAGCCATTTGTTTTACTGCATAGTGACTTTTATTAAAGCTGTAGAGTTAACACACAGATTGTTGAAGACTAAAAAAAATGTTTAAAATGCCACTGATGTAATTAATCTGCTGTTTGCTGGATGAGACAGGAAGGAAGCCCACAGAACACATCATGGCATTACTGAAATAGTAACAGCTTTTTTCTCTAGTTAGGTGAAATATTAGACATACATGGAGGATCTTTACATTTAAGCTAAGCATCTCATTAGTTGGGATTTTAGATGTAGTGATTTAAATATAACCCCAGAAGTAGAACATTCATTTTTTATGTCATTCATCCTTTTTAATCAAGTGCACACTCAGGGAATCCAGGGGAAATTCATCAGAAGAATAATGGATCTTTGTCTTTTTGTAAATGTTTCCTTTTATATGAGCTTGATATTCAGAAGGAGAAACCGTTCTGAGACTAGAAACGGGTGTTTTGTCCCTTACTGAGAGCTGTGCATCCTGCAGAGGTCTGACTGCAGTCCTCCAGGGCCGCTGGCATGAAGTGTTACATGTCTCTCTGCTTCAGCATACCTGGCTCCATCATTAGCAGAGCCAAGCTACACGGCTCTGCTACATCTGAATTAAAACTGTAGATCTACATCTGCAGTTTTAATTCAGATGCAGGATGTAGGACACTTCTAAATGTTGCAGGACTCTGGTCTTTCAGTCTGCAGTGGTCAGTTTGAGACCCCAGAGCAGAACTTCCTTCAGTGACCTGGTTCTGTACCTCATAATGCTATTTTAGTGTAACAGGTAACCTTCAATGTAGTTAAGTATGAAGACCCTACTGTGTCTTCATACAGAGTGTTTGCTGTTTACACTGAGGTCGTAACAATTTGGCTTTCATAATAAAACATTAAGTAGATATCAACATGGGTGGGATTCTTTGTGAACATGAAACGTGATAAATCTCTTCTGAAGCTCAGCTAAGTGTTTGTTTATGGTTGAATGTGTTGCATGAAGAACAGCTGCAGTGTTACTTTCTAATGTCAATTTTCCCTTTATATGAATAATGCACTCTGATCACGATGCCAGAAAACATATGTTATGATAAAAAAATAACAGCATTGCAGCTGTGTGTGATAGTTTCTTTATTGCCTTTTTAATTTACATGAAATACCTGATTGGCAGATGCTACACTGGATTCGTACACGGACGTCATGAACACACAGGGCCACCAGGTGGCGTATCATACTGTCAATCCAACTGAAATCCTGATTTTCTTCACTGAAGAAAAGTAAAGAACACTCCTGAAGAATGCAGAGGTCAGCTTTTCGCTAGCAACAGAGACTTCTGCAGCTCCTCCAGGTGGTTGGTGGCTTGTGTGATCATCATGCGGATAGCATCCTGAGCCAATGAGAGAGAGAGCCGAGATCAGTGCAGCCAACAGACCTGATAATTGGGTCTTATTACACCATCAAGTGGATACCATCAGATAATCATACTTTATTAATCCCAAAGGGAATTACACAGGATTTCAGTACAGACTGTCTGAAGAAAGACAGACACAGAATACATGAGCAGACGAGTGTCTGAGGCTGCAGCCTTTTATTAGAGAAATATAATCCATTAGGACGGATGAGGAGGAAAACATGAAGAATGTGTGCATGGCAATAATAAAGTCAGCTACCTTCCTGATTACATTTCTGTATTAAAAAGTTTTTTATGGTCTGATGTAGTATTCTTTGACAAACAGAACTGGGTTTTCATTATCTCTAAGCCTTTATTAAAATTACAAAGCACTGACGTTCACAATAAAGTTATGCTGAAAAACTATGGTCAGCAGGGGGCTCCCTATGTTTTTTTGGTTTAGTCCCAGGCCGTCTTTGTTCTAGCTGGGTTTAGACCCACCTGGACATAAACCGGGTCTGGACAGTGACAGACTAGAAACTTATTAAAATGGTTCTCTCCTGCTAGAGCCAGATAACGTCATGACTTACATGATGTAACAAGTGGTATAACTAAAGATTTAATAAACTCAATTAATTTTACTCAAATAATCCACAGTCCTGCTCACTCTTATCTACATACGTTAGACCTCGTGCTGCTGACATACAGCATTACCTGTGAAGACATAACAGTAACCCTTTGCTGTTTGACCATTTTTAATAACCTTTGAGTTTAACTCAGTACTCAAAACCTGAGAGAAAAATGTATAGAAGATCTTTATCAGATAAAGCTGTTAGAACCTTTAAAGAATCTGTTCCATGTTTAATTTCCTCTGAATCTCAGAGAAACAGATGGAAGGAGAAATTTAATCTCTAGTCCTTCTGAAATTGACGTTCTTGTTCATAGTTTTAATTCCTCATTAGACAATGTGGTCACCTCAAGAAGAATAGAATTATCCAAAGGAGGTTGGCTCCTAATTCAGATCTGTGTGCTTTGAAGAAGAACGATAGGAAATTTGAGAGAAAATAGTGCTCTTTATATCTAGATGTGTAACTTGGAAAAATAGTTTACACTGTATAAAAGACTCACCAAGTTAGAACATTGTATTAATCATCATTAATAGAGAAAGATAGAAATAATCCTAAATTTCTCTTTAGCAAACAAACATCTCTCAATTTTCATATTTATGATGAACTATTGCTGCTATTAATTCCACATATTCTTTTTGACAATTTCTGTGCTTACTTGTATTTTGAATCCAACTGTACTGGAATTAATCTATTGACTATGGTATATGAATCGGACTTGCTTGTCTTGTAAAATGAGGGGCTGAACGCATGAGGAGTCCGTTATGAAACGGAAAAGCCAACAGTCTGAAGAACCTGGTTGGTGGCGTTCTTGTTCCTCTTGAATTCCTCCCTGGCCCAGTCTCTCAGGTACTTCCTGTCCGCCTCGTCCGGAACCTGGCGGATGGTCCTCAGCATGCTTCTATAAACTCCCAGAACCTTCTGCCTCTGTAGAAACTGACACACCAGCTGCTGTTAGTTCCCAAAGGCCAGCTCTCAGTCTCAGAGTCGGTCTCAGTTCGGGGTTACCTGCTTTAAAGAGAGCGCTGCTGGCGGTAACCTGGAGCCCATCTCTGCCCAGGTGGAAGCAGACAGGTTGCCGTGGTCCTGGGGAGGCTAACAGCTGTTTCACCGGACTCTGGAGGACTCACTCCCTTTGGTACAATAGCGCCAACTGCTGGATTGGAGGTCAATCATGATATAACAGGAAATCACCTTTCTAATAAACTTGTTCAAAAATGACTAAAGTCCTCAATTTTAGTTTAAGGTTAGTTAGTTCAAGGATTTTTGAAGCATCACGAAGGTCATGATGCTCTGTAAAGGGGTGGAGCAGAGGACTGTATCCAGTCTGTGTTGACCTTTTTGCAGAGCAACATATGAAACTGGGATTTCAATAAAAAGGCACACTCCATGTTGAAACAGTTTTGAAAACGGGTTAAACTGATTTTATTTCTGGAAAAAAAAAAAAAAAAAAAACCACATAACCTATGAATTAAAGTGCCCTGAAAATGTTCTTGAACTTACCTTCGTTACCTCTGGTTACACTTATGTTTTTTTTTAATCATTAAAGTCATTTATTGGTCTAAAATAATAAATCCTTACAATGATTCTGAGATGTATGAGAACACGATTCCTCTCTTATCAGAGAAGAAAAAGAAAGGTTTTAGAATCATCAAAGAACACAATACTTCAGTCTGAAGCTCACACTTTGTATTGTTTATCACCCCATGGGATTCCATCAAGAATTTATACATTTGCTCTTTATTTGCCAAAGTTACCTGACATAATCTGTTCCCCTCCATAACATGGCAACAAATTCATTTATCACATAAATGGATGTTACATCTAATGACTTTTGAGACTTTGAGCCCTTCTTTCCTGTAGAAATCCTCTGTTGAAAGAAACTCAGATCAGGCAGACCTTCAGTTCATAGATAAATTTCAATTTGGCAGAAATGGAACAGATTGGCGATTATTTGTAGAATTTGAACACTTTTGATTGACTGTTCTGCAGAATTAGCCATGTATGCATGTAATAACTGTTAGCTTTGTTTTCTAGTCTTCTGCTACTCCTGATAATTACTGGTCATGTAAAAATGCACATTAAATCAAAAGAAAGTGATGAGAAAAACAGCAAGTTTTTTGCTCTTAGAGTCACTGAACAAAATAATTGAGTTAATTGTTCTTATGAGATCAACACTTACCATAAAACATTTAGATTTTCTCAGACATGCAGGTAGAAGTGAGGAGTCAGTTTTAGCTTCTCTGAAGAGGACAAATTTATAGTTTAACCAAATTCATGTTCTTTCCATAAAACTTTATTATGATAGATTAAAAATAATAGTAAAATAATGATCTACCAACATGGAGCAGAGCTGTGTTGCTCCTCTGCCAGGTGAGAGAAATGTGGCACAACCTTTAAACCTCTGATCTTTACATCATTCACATTAGCAGGTAAATACATAAAACTGAAATATTTCTGCTCATGTACACATCAGAAACGTCTCACATTTGTCCTGTCAGTATGTGGCTTTCCTTCCAAACAATAGCTGAACGAAGTGTTTAAACATAGCTTGCGCATCCTGATGGTGTTCCCCAAGGCACATGATTAGGTCCCCTGACTGTCCGTCCCCACATACTGTGAACCAGTGAAGACATGGACAGTCTTGTCCACACAGCAGCTTGACCCAGTCTAACATTTGAGTCTGTCGTCTTCAGAACAGTTGTTCCATCTTTGCTAAAAATGTTAGATGTTGAAGATTCTAACATGAAACATTATCAGACTGACAGCCTGCTGTCACACTGGGGAAAACAACAGGCTGAAGGCACATGGTCAGAGGGCCTGCTCTACAGGTTCCAGCAGTTAGCCGCTTCTTCTGGCCTTCCTATTGGTCAGCAGCTGTGATGAGCTCAAACCACTGCCTGAGCGCGTCGCTCAGCGTCTCCGGCAGGGCGTTGACGTCCCGCAGGATGACGTAGAAGGGGAAGGGGAACTCGTCCATGTAGGAGCGGATCTCTGGCAGCTCTCCTGGCCCTTTGAAGATGGGCACCTTGATGTCCAGGATGGAGTCCTG